TGATGAAAAAGGTTTAAGGCAACGTCTCTCATCCTTGGCACCCGGGACATTTCAGGTCGAATGATTCTTTGTTGTGTGGGTCTTCCTTGGGCGTTGTAGGATGCTTAGCAGCATCTCTGGCATTTTCCCACTAGGTGCCAGTAGCATAACTCCCTCCTCCCAGTTGGGACAACCCAAAATCCCTCCAACACTGCCAAATGCCCCAGAGTGGGAGGGGCAGAATCACCCCTGGGCAAGAACCACTATTTTAACATGTCCTGCTGAACACCTAGAACTTAGGACCACCAGAGTTTCTGGACTCTTAATTGGTTGTATTTTAGATCATGAAATATCAAGAAGATAAACATGTTAATGGAATTTCTGAAAACCCGAATATCAACATCTGTGTTTCTATTTTTCTTTCTAGCCAGTGCCTTTTGTGGTGGGATGTGGATTTTTATGGCGATATGAGAGGTAGGAATTTGGAAGTCCTATCAGTCTGGGGTTAGTCAGGGTCAGAGCAACCACCCTAGGTATTTTAATCAGAAAGGGAGTTAATTTAGGGATCTAGGAGCTTGCATAACCCTTAGAAGAACTGGGCAGGAGAGTGAGGATTGTGGAGGGTATTGCTGGTTTTCAGGAAATTCGGAAAGCAGGAGTCAAAGAGAAGTTTTTTTGGAGGTCAGATGGCTGCAGAAATCCCAGAGGGTTTGCTACTGATGACCTCAGTAGCATGTAGCAGCAATGTAAGCCATTTTTAGGAAGAAAACTGGAAGCTTCTGATGCATCCACATATCTGCCACCTACTGATGCCCATGAGCTTGTCTGAAGTTGCTGTGGGACAAAATAATGGCTCTTCCTTCTCTTCTGCCTCCCAGATCTCATGTGAATGCCTCTCAGTAGCCAATCTAACAAAGGAAAAGAGTCTTGGAAATTTAGTTTCGTGACTTTCAGTCCTGTAGTACTGGGAAGGTGCTGAGAAGGACAGGGATTCAGCTGAGACAGTTGAGAGGATGTTGTGTTGTGTAATGTGGCAGAGGGTCCTTAATAAAAAGTGTCCCTTTTTTAGCATCAGATTTAGTCTACTTCAGTGATGCTATACTGATAAAATAACTGTAAGATTCTTTGCTGTAAATTGTTTGCCATGTCTTGCCCATTGTTATTGGGGTGTGAGGGAGGGTTGAAGTTTCCTGGTGCCAATAAAACAAACATGCACTTGCATAAAAATATATGAAAAAGTAGAATGATACTGCATATATAGTTTCATTATACTATTATTTATTTAATAATATCTTATGAGGTTACCCATTAATATCCATTATTTCAAATGTTCAAGTACTACTTTTATCATAAAAAATAAGTTTAAATAACTCGAAAAAGTATTATGCCATTAACAACCCCCTACCCCCAAAGCATGATACCTATTTTGTTATTTATATTTCAAAACCATTATTTCAAACATTATTTTGAAACATTTATTTAGTCATGTGGATTTACATTTGTACATAAATCTTTGTTTCCAACTTTGATTAACTCCTTAGGCATAGGTTTCTAGAAGTGGATTTCTCATCTGAAACTGTGAATTAATTGCTTTACCAAGTGTTTATAGTGATTACCACCAACCGTTTATGAGATTTCTCATTTTCTGGCACTTTTCTTTTGTTACCTTAAAACAAATCAAAAAGACTTTGCCGTTTCTATAGGCAAATACTGTTTCATTGTTGTATAATTTTACGTTTCTTTGGTTTTACTAATGGGGTTGAACTATATGATTTTCTTTATTTAGGTCCTGCACATGCCTTTAAAAATATTTATTATAGTATAATGTAAGCTCAAGGTACAAAATTCAAAACAAGCAAAAAGACATATGGTGAAAAGTAAGACTCTTTTCCACACTTCTGCTCTAGCCAATCAGCTTACCTCCCAGGAGACAACCATTTGCCTATTTTTAGGGTATACTCCAGAGAAATTGTACATAGATGTAAGCTGAAATATATATTCACATATATGTAAATATGTACAATTATATATGTGTATATGCATACATATGTTAATTATAATATATGAGTTATGTGTAAATTATACATATTATAATTCACATATATACACATATATGTTTGTAACTTTTACCAAAGGGTAGACTACTATTCATGCCATTCTGAAACTTAATCAAATGTAAATAGATAGCTAGTGGGAAGCAGCCACATAGCACAGGGAGATCAGCTTGGTGCTTTGTGACCATCTAGAGGGGTGGGATAGGGAGGGTGGGAGGGAGATGCAAGAGGGAGGAGATATGGGGATATATGTATATGTGTAGCTGATTCACTTTGTTATAAAGCAGAAACTAACACACCATTGTAAAGCAATTATACTCCAATAAAGATGTTAAAAACAAAACAAACCAAAACAAAAAAGCAAAAAAAATCAAATGTAAATTAGAGTTCTTTCCATATAGTAGCACATAAAGCTATTTCTTATTCTTTTTAATGGCTGTAACATATTCTGTTTTATGCATGTGCTATGATATATTTAACCAGCCCCCTATTGATGGACATTTTAGGTTTTTTTGATATTCCAAGCAATGCTTTAATGAATAACTTTGTATCTACAAATTTTGCAAACATACCTACAACATCTCTAGGATAAATTCCTAAAATGAGAGGCATAGGTTATATGTGTTTTAAATTTTAATGGATATATGCACAGCTATTTCTAGATTCACTGTAAAATCACTAGTGTTTGTTATTGGAAGAAAACAACTACATACTTCTCTGAGTCAGATGGAGACCCTGCCTAAGAATTTATTCTAATAATAATGGCAAAAGCTTACTGTCTACTAGTCACTGTTCTGAATACAGATAGAAAATAATTTAATTGTTATCACAACCATATGTATCAGGTACCATTACTAATGTCTCCATTTTGCTGTTGAGAAAACTGAGGCATAAGAGTTTAAGGAATGTGCCTAAGGCCATTAGGAGCAGTGACTTGGAGGCACTAGGATCTGAACCCAGGCAGTTTAGCTCCAGAGCCTAAGCAGTTAAGCACTTTGCTACCCACACAATCAGCCTGAGCTTTTTCTTTCTTCTTTTTTTTTCTTCTAATTTTCCTGTGATTTCTAGGGAGTGCAGATACTGGTAAATTTAGGGATCTTTATTTGTTGGGTTCTTCCATCCCCTGGGCTTTTTCTTATAAGCATTAATTTCAAATCTTTGTGTAGTTCGTTTGGTGTTTAAGGCGATAGATGAGTGTGACACAGTGATCACTTGCTAATTTTTGACAGGCCCAACGGCACATGGGTTTTGATAATTGTGACTTTGGTCCTTTTTCATAATATTTTAATTTCCTTCAGTTTTTGAGGTAGACAACCAGATCAACTATGAATGTTGTTAATTTGATCTCCTTGATGATATTATACCTGTTATTCATTTTTCCTTTATTAGTGTATGGGCTTGAACGTCCAGAACACTGTCGTGTAATTCTGATGCTCTTTATCTTGCCTCAGATTTCAGTGGGAATGAATGCCTACAGTGTTTCATAATGTGCAAGGTGTTGGTTCGTATTCTGGACAGATTTCGTGATCATGTTCAAGGACTCGCTCCTTTCTTTTGATCGTTTACTAAGAGTTCTTGATAAGGAATAGATGTTAAATTTTATCAGATGCCTTTGTGGGGGGATCACATATGAATATTATCATATATTATTATATCAATCGGTTGGTGATTAGATATGTTCTAGTTGTCTGTTGCTCTGGAACAAACTGCCCAAAGCAGTGGCTTAAAGCAGTAACCACCATTTATTTTGCTTATGAATCTGTGAGTTGACCAGGCAGTTCTGGCTTGGGATGACTCATGTGTTTGCAGGCAGACAGACAGTGGCTGGGCTGGGGTCATCTTGAAGGTTTCCTCACTCACATGCCTGGTCCTGGGCTGAGAAGAGTCAGACTGCTGCTGCTGGGGCTGGAGCAGCTGGGGCTCCGTGGGCATTTCCCACTTTCTATGTGGTCTCTCCACATGGGGGCCCAGGGTAAACAGACTTCCCCTGGAGGCTCCTAGAGTGAGTGTCCCTAGAGAAACCAGCAGAATATGCATGACTTTGACAAACAGCTCAAGAAGTCACGGAGCGTAATTCTGCCACATGCTATTGGTTGAGGCTGTCACAAAGGCCCACCTGCCCAGGTTCAAAGGAAGGGGACACAGACTCCACCACTTAATAGGAGGAGGGTCAAGGAATTTGTAAACATGTTTCAAAATGATTCCACTTTATGTATCAAATCTTAACATGTAGCAAATTCTACTTGTTTGTGTCATTTTCTTTGAATGTACAGCTGGACTCGATTTGCTAGTCCTTAGTATTGAATTTTAATATGACCACATATTCTATGATTTCTCTTTTGCAAATTATGTTTATTTGGTTTTGGTATCAGGATTTGTGCTTGCTTTCTAATATTTCTAATTATAGGATAGATTTAATAACAGAGGAATTAATTTAAATTTGGAAAAATATTTTAAAAATCTGACTTTAAAGTCTATATAGGACTCATTCTTTACTCAGTTTCTTCCACAGTTATTGATCCATTTAGGATATTTACTTTTTCTTGAATTATTGTGGTAATTCATGTGGTTCCTGGGAACTCATGGAATATTGATATTTTTCAAATTTTCAAGAATAGACTTAAATTTTTTAATATAATTTGTAAGTATTCTTTTTATGTTATTGTATCTTATTTCTCATTTATGATTTTGGTTGCTTATATACATTTTGATTTGGTTTGATTATCTTGAAATGTATCTATTTTAATACTTTTTCCAAATATAAACTCCTGGCTTTGTTTATGTTTTTGCCGCCCCCCAAATGGTACTTTTTATCTCTTTTTTTGGATTTATTTATTTTTCTTGATTTCCTAAAAAGTCTCTTTAAGTTAATAATTAATTAATTTAGTTATATTCTTCACTTTCAATAACAGACACATTTACATTTAAAATATTTGCCACTAAATTTTGCTTTGGCCTTCTCCCCAGCATTTTGACCTGGAGATGGAACTGACTCAGGAAACAGAAGGAGTGCCAGGAAGAACTGAGGACCCCCTGGAGGCCATGCCCATGGGTGTGTGGTTCATCAGCTCTGTGTGCCTGTGGAGTCCCTTTAGCAGCACTCAAGCCCTGGTGGGCTGGATCCTGGGCTGGGCTCTTGCCAGGAAGCTGCGATGCAGGTAAGAGATGGAGGCTATTAGTAAGGATGTTGTTGAAATGGCTACCATGGAAGCTGCCTTTGGCTGACTCTGTGAAGGCTTCATTCAAGACTTTACTCGTCCTTTACAATGGAGATATATACACACACACACACACACACACACACTTAGACACATGTGCACATACAAACACACACATACATGTACATTTATATACTTATACATGCACACACACAAATATATATATGTAGAGAGAGTTCTGTTTGGGTTTTACATAGATGGTAAGCTATGTGTCTTATGTAACATTTCCACCTTAATCTTCCTTGTTTTTGTACATTGAGCAGGCTCATTTATTTTACCAGTGTCTTCCTGATACACAAGTTCCTGGTTTTGCCAGTACCACCCCATTCTGCATGAGGTCTCTGTATTAGGGAAGATGCCTAAATCCTCTGCCCCAGGAGGGTGGGTTTTGGTTTGTCTGTCTAGTCATTTTGGTGTCATTCCCCTAATCAACTCCTGTGCAGCTGTTTAAAAAAAAAAATGAGCTAGCTCAGTAAACAAAACACGAAAAGTTTAAGGAGAAAAATGTTACACACACATAAGGTAAGTTACTACTATTGGTGACTGACCTGGGCCTAATTCTGATGAGTGGGATGTGGGGAACTTCCAGGAAAGGTTTCTTTGTTCTTAAAAAGAAACAAGAGACAGCCCCCTTCCTACCTCTGGAGTCTGTTGTGTCTGGATGTGATGCTTGGAATTGCTAAAGTTACTTGTGGTGATGAGGGATCTTTCTGAGGGCCAAGCCAGGCATGGAGGAGCAAAGTCAGGGCCACCACAGAATAAGGATGGGGGCCCACATGTGGACTGCTGTCATGTGAGAACACATTCTTTAGTCTTGAAATGGTTCAGTGGTTTTCTGTCACTTGCTGCTAAGCAATACCTAACTGATGCATCTTCTTTATCATAGCTCTGTTTTTTCTGTACGAGGGTCTCTCCAGATTGAGAGAAGGCAGAGTGGGCCTGGGTCTGTGATGATACTCACTGCTGCTAAGTGGAGGGGAATTCTTCTCAGACTGCCTATCACACTGGAATCCCTTGTTACCTATTTTTGCAACTTTCCTGTATTGCCGTAGAATTTTAAGGGCAGACCGAGAGAAGCTGAATCATGGAGAGCCTGATGGCATTTTAGCCCAGAATTCCCATCATGTCCTCCCTCTATGTGTGAATGAATGAAACAGATTCATTTCCCAGGTCAAGCCTCACTGCCTCTGAGAAGTCTTTCTTTTCTATCTCCAGATAGAATTAAACCTCCCTTTGTCTATACTATTTTCTTCCTTAGGATACTTCAGTATTTGGATGTATAGCATTGTTTATCGAGCCAAACATTGTAATAAACTTTTTATAAACACATCTCATTTAACTCCCATGACCGCCAGTTCAGCAGGTGTTATTAATGACATTTTACAGTTGGGGAAATTGAAGGCTAGAAAGGTTAAATGACTTTTCCAAAATTACACAACTAGAAAATGGCAGAGGTGCTGTTTGAGACTCCAAAGCTTTACTCTTAATCATCTTCTACCAAACAAACATATACACTTGTGGGTCCCCTCGAGCTTCTTGAAGGTGAGGACTGCATCTTCCCTTTCTATAGCCTGCTCCATTCGTGGTCTTTGGCACACAGGAGACACATAAAGTGGGAATGGGCTTATTAGGGAATGCTTTGGGGACCGATACCTGTGGAAGAAGAGAAAGAAAGGAAAGGGAAGGGCAGGGAAGGGAAGGAAGGAAGCAGATTAGGTAAAGGGAGAAGTTGATCCATGATGCAGTCTCAATGGAAACCTCAGCTGACCCTACAGGGACATCTGGTGATGGGATAAGTCTTCAGAGCTGTCCCAGCTGGGGAGAGAGAGCTGAGCCTTTATGCCACCTTGTGCATCATTATTGGATATGGGTTGCCCTGGGTAGGGACATGACCTGGGCATTCTCTAGTAGCACTCCCAGCAATTGGGAGAATAAGTCTTTCGTTCCTGAAGGGATCTGGTGGAGCCTCACAGCCTCCATCACACCACTGTGTATTGGTTTTTTTCTAGAATACTCTCCCCTGCACATGTCATTACTTTTGGCATTTCTGAGCTGCTGTCTATCTCTCTTAGATGGAGATTTGGACTAGATACAGCAAGAGTCTATGTTCTTCACCCAGCATCCAGGAGGATGAGCCTCACACAATGGAAGCCTGTAAGAACTTCTGGCTTGCTGGGGGTTTCAGTGCCTGATTTGGATGCTTCTTGGCTTGCTACTCTCTCTTCCCCATGAGGCTGTTTTCTTCTGCTTTGGGGGCTGTTGTGAGGCTTGGCTTGAATATCAGGCTCCCCAGAGGCTCACTCTCACACCACAGCAAGCCTGCTCACTGCGGCCCCCCCTTAGCCCCCTGTGGGGAAGGCACTTCCTCACTCTCCAGGGCAGCTGTTGGTGATCATGGAGCATGGTGACTTGAGCGCAGCAAAAGCCTGAGCCCTTGCTGCTGGCAGAATGCCAAAGTTGCCTTGAATTCCCCAGGCAGCCTCAGCTCTGGGCCTTGGTAGTTCTCACACACCAGATAGGCAGGCTCTGGCCATCGGATGAAGATGCTCGTAGGGAGGGGCAGGACGGGGGCCAGAGGCGTTGAATGAGTTCATTCTTCTCTGAAACGCAGTCTCTGCCTTTTGCTCACAGATCTGTGTCACTCTAAAGAAAACATGTCTAACTTCAAATGACTCCCATCCAGGTCAAGACCAGTAGTCAAGCCAAGCCGTGGGGATGAGGTGAGCAGTCACATTTTAAGAGTTAAGGCCAAATCCCTTCTCTGGCTGGGTCCCAAGGGCTAGCTTATAAAACCAAGAAAAGCACACATAGAAATCCAAGCCACAGTCCCTAAGGGCATCCAGGAATCATGAGGTAGCCAGCTGGATTCCAAGGGCTGTGACCCAAGACCCCAAGAGGAGCCAGATCAGTGTGGAAATAGGTTAGAAGCAAGGAAGCTGGTACAGGAATAGTGTGTCCGACTCCAGCTGCTGGCCTCAGCCCTCCTTAGGGGCCCATCCGTAATGCTGGCGGTCATGGGGTTGTTGGTCTGCGGTGAGACAGTCTGGAGGACAGGCAGCACCATTCTCCGCCTTTACAGGTGACCGTCATAGTTGCTACCTCATCAAGGTAGCAAGGAACGTTAGCTGAGTTTCTACTCTGTGCCAGTTACTGGTACAGATTTGAGCTGATTAAGACTCAAATGTCCTCTGCTCTTTATCAACCCCAAAGTGGGGGATAAACACAAAAGCTTATTTGTTTGAGTTTACAGAATATTTTTATTATAGAGAACTTCAAACATATACAGAAATGGTAATATGAATGTGTACACACCTCCCTTTATTTATTTATGTATTTCCTGAAGTATAATTGATTTCAAATTTTATATTAGTTTCAAGTGTACAACAGAGTGATTCCGTATTTTATAGATTGTACTCCATTTAAAGTCATTACAAAGTAATGGCTATATTTCTCTGTGCTGAACAATATATCCTTGTAGCTTATTTATTTTGTACATAGTAGTTTGTATCTCTTGGTACCATACCCCTATTTTGCCCCTCCCCCCCACCTCTCCCAACTGGTAACCAGTAGTGGAACACTAGGTAACACTTCTTTGTATCAGTGAGTCTGTTTCTTTTTTTTTTATTTTTAAATTTAATTTAATTTATTTTTTATACAGCAGGCTCTTATTAGTCATCCATTTTATACACATCAGTGTATGTATGTCAATCCCAATCTCCCAATTCATCACACCCCCACACCCCCTGCCGCTTTCCCCCCTTGGTGTCCATACGTTTGTTCTCTACACCTGTGTCTCAATTTCTGCCCTGCAAACCGGTTCATCTGTACCATTTTTCTAGGTTCCACATATATGCGTTAATATGCGATATTTGTTTTTCTCTTTCTGACTTACTTCACTCTCTATGACAGTCTCTAGATCCATCCACGTCTCTATAAATGACCCAATTTCGTTCCTTTTTATGGCTGACTAATATTCCATTGTATATATGTACCACATCTTCTTTATCCATTCGTGTGTCGATGGGCATTTAGGTTGCTTCCGTGACCTGGCTATGGTAAATAGTGCTGCAATGAACATTGACGTGCATGTGTCTGGTAACCAGTAGTGTGACACTAGGTAACACTTCTTTGTATAAGTGAGTCTGTTTCTGCTTTGTTATATATATTTGCTTTCTTTCTTTAGATTCCGCCTATAAGTGATAACATAGAGTATTTGTCTTTCTCTGACTTACTTTGCTAAGCATAACACTCTCTAGGTCCATCTGTGTTGTTGCAAATGGCAGCATTTCACACATATCCCTTTTTTAATAGTTATCAACATGATGCTAAAGGGTGTTAACCTATCTATCCCCACATAACGTCCCTTCTTGCATATCTTAGCCCTAAACCATTTTATCTCTAGTCTAGTGTATCTCCAAATGACAGTGACTTTAAAAAACATAACCATAGTCCCAGTAATTAACAGTAATTCCTTAGTATCACAAATGTTGTTAGTATTCACATATTCTTGATTGTTCCATAAATAAGTGTGTTTTATGAACAGTTGGTTTGTTTGAAGCAGTATCCAAACAAGATCAAACAACTGTATTTTACTGTGTGCTGGGTGCTATGGCAGTGTTAACGACATATATGGCAGAGCTCATTGGAAGGCTCCCTGAGTTTGCCTCCAGTGTGGTTCACAGGGTTAGGGGCACCAGCTTTGGAGTTCTAGCTGTGGGAACATAAGCAAGTGGACCTCTTCAAATCTCAGCTCCTTATCTGCATGACTCACAGGGTGGCTGTAAATATTAAATGGGATGATTCACATATGGTGCTTAGCACATGGGCTGGCCCATAGTATGTGCTCGATAAATTCTGAATGTAATTATAATAGCAGTAATAAAAACAAAGAAGGTGATATTTAATTTAGATCTTTAAGCATGCAATCTTGTGCAAAGTAA